TGTTATACAAAAGTCTTTATAATGAATAAAATAGTAAATATATTTCTATTAAAAATAATATTTGCAACAGTACATCAAAATTTAATAAATAAAGATATCAAAATATTTTTTAATATACACCTAAGTCTGTTTTTACACGGAGATTGGTTCCAGAAGAAGCCGTGTAAAAAAAAAAAACGTGTAAAAAAAGACATTGATCTTATACAAAAATGGGTGATTTGTCCTACTCTCTAAAACCTATTAAAATTAGTGAAAAACAAGAATTTTTAAGAACAAGAATTTATGTTTATTTTAGTTAGTGCTATTCACATTTGCTTTGACCAGTAAAAATTGTTTGCACGCGCTAAAGGGGAATTCACTTGAATCTTTAAGCTAGTGTTCGCAAACTATCGATACTATCGATGATTTCAGGCTTTTTTCTTTCATAAATACTTCTTTGTGATATAAACATACATCGCAAAAATCAAATTTGACAAAAAAATTTAAGTACATAAAATTTCAAATCGTGCTAAATGGAATAAAATCGTGTAATTAGTTGGTTTGGTATTTAGCCTTGAGGCAAGTTACATGAACTTCCCGAAATGTGTAAATAATCGACTTAATCAAAAAAAATGTGTAAATAATATACTTCATTAATCCTACTTTAAAAAAAACGATAATAATTTTAGCAAACTTTGACGAATTTTTATAATTAAACTACATGTCGTTAGGCCGTAATATTACAGTAAGTTCTATAAGACCATGATGTATATCGCCAAAAAAAATTCCATGAAAATCGGCTTAAATTTTTTTTTCAACAGTTAATTACAAGAAAACGGCTCGGTAGATTTTCACCTAAAATTAATCAGTACCATTCCCAACTAATATCTTTCGAACAGTTTTTGATATTTTAAAATCGGTTCGGTAGGATGAGCTTAAATGTCGACGAAAATTTAACACTTTTTTTCAACAGTTAATTACAAGAAAACGGCTCGGTAGATTTTCACCTAAAATTAATCAGTACCATTCCCAACTAATATCTTTGGAACAGTTTTTGATTTTTTAAAATCGTTCGGTAGGATGAGCTTAAATGCGGATGAAAAGTTTTTTTCAAATTACAAAGAAACGGCTTGGCAGATCGTTGCACAAAACTGACAAACGATAGTCCTCACCGAAATACATCAAATGGCTTTTAAATATCTAAAATCGGTTCAGGCGTTTTTGAGAAAACGTCGATCAAAAGTCTAATTTTGACAAATGCCAAAAAGACCATACTGATTTTTGCAAACTTTGACGAATTTTTAAAGCTGAACCAGTTGTCGTAGGGCCGTAATATTTTAGTATGATCTAGAAGACTATGGTATCTATCGCCAAAAAAATAATCATAAAAATCGTCGAAATTTTTTTTTTAAAACTTTATTACAAGAAAACGGCCCGGCCGATCTCTACCAAAAACTAATCAGCACGATTCCCAACCAATATCTTTCGAACGGTTTTTGAATTTTCAAAATCGATTCAGAATTGCGGGCTAAAACGTAGACGAAAAATTTTTCACTTTTCTGCCATTTATGAAGAAACGGCTTGGCCGATCGTCGCACAAAACTGACAAACAATAGTTCTCGTTGAGATACATCGAATGGCTTTTAAATTTTTGAAATCGGTCCAGCCGTTTTCGAGAAAACGTCGATTTACGGCAAAAAATCTGTTCACATACACACACACACACACACACACACACACACATACTTTTTCCAAATTTGGTCTCATTCGATTCAGAATGGCTTGAAACGTCGAGAAAACATAAAATTAGCGAATCGGGTTTTTTGATGAAAACATAAACTTCTCCTTCGGGAAGTTAAAAAAATTAAAAATATTCAATTTTCAGACCGTGTTATATCAAAACCGTGTACAAAAAGACCGTGTAAAAACAGACTTAGGTGTACATCTATTGCAATACAATATTTGTAACAAAACATTTTGTTTATTTTAAGAATTGTCTCAAAATGGTAAAAACACTTTTGAATTTGTTGTTTAAAAAATGTATATTTATCTAGTGTTTATATATACTTACATGATATATTGTTAAAAAGTTGATGACAGTATAATAACATACTTTAATAATTTGCATAGAGATTTTAGCCTTGATTTTCAATTAAATATAAATTCCAACAGTAAATTTATGCACTTGTTGATATCTGTTTGAAAATCCACTAAATCATCTTGATGAATATTTATTTATACTTAGACATTGTTAGGCAAAATTTCTGACATTATTCCAATTCAAATGTAAAACTTTTGTTAATTTTTAGCATTTGTTGAAGTTTATCTTGTAAGTGCAATGTGATGCAAATAAACCTAAATTAGATAAAATATTATTAATTAATTAATTTAAAGCAAAACATCATTATTTACAATTACAATCTATCTAAACAATAACACTGTTCATTTGTAGAGTGTTTAAATTGGGTAAAAATATTAACAATACCTTGTATTTGCTTTGTAGAAAACTAAGTTACAATCCAGTGTTTACAAATGTCCATTTATGTAGTAAATAAGATGATGAATAGTATTAATGATAATTGTATCACCTTATTCTGATTTAAATGCACAATTCAAACTTTTGTATTTAATAATCTATATCTAATAATGTAGTGGATCTAAAAATACACTAAAGACAATATATTATTTTAATATTTTATACAACAATAACTCTGTTTGTATATAGAGTGATTAAATGGTTTTAAAATTATAAAACTACCTTTGCATGTTGTCTATAACAATACAATTTTATCCAGTATTAACAATTATCCATTTAAGTGATATTTACACGGTTGAAAATATGTTGCAAAGTTCTTCAGTTTGTAGATGAATAATTTGTAGAGATTGTGCTAAATCTTTCTGCAGTTCCTTTGGGGCTTTATTAGTTTTAAATTACTATACAATCTTGTATAAATTATAACCAATCAACTAAATTTATAAGTGTATAACAGTTTATATATAATACAAGTACCTTATGCATTTTATCATCTGTATTGAAACTGCACATTTTACACAAAGGGTTTTGTATGAATAGCATTCAAATTTGTTTTGTAGACATCATGCAAAATCTTGTTGTACAAATAGAGCTCTCATAATCCATTTATTTGATGCAAAAGTTGCTGTAGATCTTCCTTGAGCAAGTACTCCATATAAGTCTTGACACCTTGACAGGAATTTTGGTTATGCTTCAAAGTTTTGAATCCAAATCATAAACAAAGTGATTTGGAATATTGTAAATAGCACCACATGTGAAATTGTATATTGTTATTACCTTGTAGAACTTTTATAGTAGAGTGACCCTTTTTTCTGGGTTATAAACAATATTTGTGCATATGGTTTTGTGTAAGTGAATTCCAATCTAGAACAATAAAGTGTGCATGGTTATAACACGATTGCAAAGTATTTGATATTATAAATACATTGTGTATATATTCTGTAGTGTGTGAATACTTATTTAGTTGATACATTGTCGAAAAACAGTGTAAAAGGTTCCATACAAAGTCGAGTCTTTTGTGCATGTTGCATTGGCCGCTGACAATTCACATTTAATACATTGTTGCACTCGGAGATTATTTTTATCAATATCGCAGTGGAGATTCTAAACAAATCAAATAAATAAATATAAAAATATAAATATAAAATAAATACGTATATAAATATGATTAGGTGAAATTTAATACTTAGCCTAATTTTTTTCGTATGTGATGTTGGCGACAATGGCCAACTTCACATTGTATATATAGAGTATATGCGTTCGTGCGCTGACAATTGGGAACGACTTCCGCCCTTGTCATTCGCACAAAGATTGTCAAAAAATTTGCATAGTTCGCTCAGTAGTGTAGTGTTATAAGTGCTTGTGATTACCAATAAAAAGGTAAATATACTTACAACAATATACAAAGCTCTTTTGTTGCATTTATGATACAATTCTGTATTATTTTACGGAGTTTTGCGCAAAATGCTTGCGCAAATTATGGCCGGCCGACCACCAACCATCCTATATCCGAATAATAACAACGATCACGCTTCGACAGTAACAAATAAACAAAGTCTTAATGATTTGCATTAAATATACACATTCTTTTTACATTTTCTTTCGTATTTTTTCGAAATTTTCAACAAATTAATAAATTTTTAAGATGGCTGCCGCCGTACAGTAACGATCGACTATGTTCGAATTCAAAATGGAGACGATCGTTTGTTTATCATTCGAATTATTTGATTTTATGTACGATATAATTATTATATGTTATCGTAGCATTATTATTAATACTTTTTTGATTTATTTAGGAATTTTGAAAACCGGAGTCCAAAGTTTGATAACCACTGGATATCGGCAATAGTTGTTGCATATAGATATGGAGCGTCAACAGAGTCATACCAAACGTAAATATATTTCGATTGTATTTTTATTTATTCGTTTCGTTTTCACTATAATGATTTCTATGATTTTTTTAAATTTTATTCATTTTTTGTAATTTTACATTTTATTTATTTTATAATTTTATTGTTTCTAATTATTCATTTAGAAATTTTAATGAAATTATAAGATCATTACAATTTATTTTATTAAAATTTTAAAATAATTGAGATGAATATTTTCCAGAAATTATTAAAATTATAGAAATTATTAAAATATAAATAATAAAAGAAATTTAGTAATCATATCAAATATTTTAAAGTTTGAAATTTATTTTAAGTTTTTTTTAAACTTTTTTTCTAAACTAATTGGTTTGGTATTTAGCCTTAAGGCAAGTTACATGAACTTCCCGATATGTGTAATTAATTGACCTAATCAATACAAACTAAATTAAATTATGAGTGATTAAAAGTATTCCGAGTGGATTTATTACACAGAATATAAATAATAACAATAGTTATAAATATTATATACATGATGATTGACACGATGCTGTTGTTGTTAATTCCAGTCTTCCTTGCATAGAGTTTATGAATTTGTTCTTGATCTTCTTTAATTTTAGATAGCTCATTTACTTGAATTGACTTGATTGCAATTGGTTCGGATGATTTTGAAATATTGTAGTTTAAATTAAATCTTGGTAAAATTATAGCTTTTCCTTCTATTGAAGATTCCATATTATAGTAATTTTTATTGTCGATACTGAATTCGCATTGATGGGTTAGTTTCAAAATAAAATTTCCTTTAATAAATTTTGTTTCTTCTTGATGATTGCAAGACATATCAATTCTTGATACATGAACTTCCCGATATGTGTAAATAATCGACTTAATCAAAAAAAATGTGTAAATAATATACTTCATCAATCCTACTTTAAAAAAAAACGATAATAATTTTAGCAAACTTTGACGAATTTTTAAAATTAAACTACTTGTCGTTAGGCCGTAATATTACAGTAAGTTCTATAAGACCATGATGTATATCGCCAAAAAAAATTCCATGAAAATCAGTTAATTACAAGAAAACGGCTCGGTAGATTTTCACCTAAAATTAATCAGCATCATTCCCAACTAATATCTTTCGAACAGTTTTTGATTTTTTAAAATCGGTTCGGTAGGATGAGCTTAAATGTGGACGAAAAGTTCAACACTTTTTTTCAAATTACAAAGAAACGGCTTGGCAGATCGTTGCACAAAACTGACAAACGATAGTCCTCACCGAAATACATCAAATGGCTTTTAAATTTCTAAAATCGGTTCAGGCGTTTTTGAGAAAACGTCGATCAAAAGTCTAATTTTGACAAATGCCAAAAAGACCATACTGATTTTTGCAAACTTTGACGAATTTTTAAAGCTGAACCAGTTGTCGTAGGGCCGTAATATTTTAGTATGATCTAGAAGACTATGGTATCTATCGTCAAAAAAATAATCATAAAAATCGTCGAAATTTTTTTTTAAAACTTTATTACAAGAAAACGGCCCGGCCGATCTCTACCAAAAACTAATCAGCACGATTCCCAACCAATATCTTTCGAACGGTTTTTGAATTTTCAAAATCGATTCATAACTGCGGGCTAAAACGTGGACGAAAGAGTTTTCACTTCTCTGCTATTTACGAAGAAACGGTTTGGCCGATCGTCGCACAAAACTGACAAACAATAGTCCTCATCGAGATACATCGAATGGCTTTTAAATTTTTGAAATCGGTCCAGCCGTTTTTGAGAAAACGGCGATTTACGGCAAAAAATCTGTTGGTGCACACGCACACACACACCACACACACCACACACACACACACACACACATACTTTTTCCAAATTTGGTCTCATTCGATTCAGAATGGCTTGAAACGTCGAGAAAACATAAAATTAGCGAATCGGATTTTTTGATGAAAACATAAACTTCTCCTTCGGGAAGTTAAAAATATAGTGTGCATCATTTTTTGCTCTATGATATTGTGTGAAATGTTAACCTGAACCTCATTACATGTTTCGATGTGAGTGTTGTCTACTTGTAATAATTTTATTATGCATTCGTCATTATTTGATAGGATATGTTTAATATTGCAGAAATATATTTTTGAAACTGCTCTGCAATCTGCATCATCAAATTGATAGTTATTATTGCCAATTTTAAGGAAAGGTTTAGGTGGAATAATGACTCTATTTTCGGTATTTGGAATTGGAAACAATTTATAATGTTTATAAGTTTGGAGTAGATTTTATTATCATCCGTATAATAATATTGAATTTTTAATAAATTGTAATGTTTGTGAAGATTACTATCGCCTATGGAAAATGGTAGTGAATCTGTACTGTATAAATGCTTTATAGTATTAATCATAAAATTCAGATTATCTAATTTTATTATTGAATTATGAATTAAATTCATTTTAGCTAAATCTATTTATATTTTTATGTCACTTAAAATAATTGTCATCAATATAACTAAACTATAAATAATTTCTTCTAAACTATCTGGTTTATGAAAAGTGTCTTTATATTTTTTGCAAATTCTTAAAATAGCATTTTTCTCTTCGAGATTCATGTGGTCAGTCCGTATTAGGTTTTCAATATCGGAAAAATCTATATTTGAGTCAGATACAAAAATTATAAAATTCTATTTCATTTGTGAGTTCTACTTGTAAAGGTTTGGTTAATGTTAAGTTAATTTCGTTTTCTGTTAGGTTAGGAATTTCAACTATGGCTTCATTGTTTTTTGCTAATGTTACGGTATCTGGAATGAAACAATTTGGAAAATTTTGCCTTGTAATTAGAATTTCACCTTCTTTAATGTTAACTGGGACTTTACATTTTTGAATGCATCTTTCTGGTATCTGTTGACTAAAAAGTATTTTTGCCGGACTTTTAAATAATGTAAGTTTAAATTAGTATTGGGTAACACTATCAACCCATTATTTAAATCTATTATTGCCTTCAATTTTTTAAGATTATCAATACCTAATAACCCATTGAAGGTTTCATGAAATTTAAAAAGATGGAATGGCAGGTTTTCATTACCTTTGAACTCTTTAAAACTCGGAATATTACATGCAAAATTTCCTTTGTGTGTTGCTGAAGCAGTTTTTATTGTACAAGGGTCAGAGTAAATAAAATTTTTGAAATATTTGTTAGCGATTTCTGGACAAATGAAAGATTTTGTGGAGCCTGAGTCAATAAGAAATTTCATATTTGGATTTTGGATTTGTATGTATGAGAGTTGATATGTTACTTGAATATAATGAGCGATATTTTAGAAAAACTAACGATTGAAATAAATCATGCTTTTGATGATATGTTGGGGATGAATTTAGCTATCATGTGAATCCATTGTAAGCGAATCCAGCGAATTATTTAAAATAAAAGCGCTGGATTTAATTTTTTACAAATAATTTTCATTTTTGTAAAATTTTCAAATATTATTGTTTTCTCCTCGGTCCTACACTTTTCAAATATAGTTTTAATACATCAAAAGTAGCCAAACGTAACCATTTTTAACTTCCCGTAGGGCAAGTTATAGTAATCGCAAAAAAATCGAAAATGAAATTTTTTATATATCTTTACGTTTCAGAGGTTTCTGAACATTTTGGCATACCTTAGAAAAAATGGATGTATGTGTGTGTATGTATGTGCGGATACAAATTTTCGTCGACGATTTCGGGAACACGGATCAACCGATTTGAATAATTCAAAAAGCATTCGATTCGTATTGATAAGAAGACGTGCTGATTAGTTTTGGCAAAGGCAGCTCCAGCCGTTCCAAAGATACAAGGCAAAAAGTGCCGAAAACGGTAATTCAGTTTTTAAGAGAACGGAGCGTCCGAATTTAATAATTCAAAAAACATTTGACTTGTATTGACAAGATGTAGAATTGATCAAATTTTCATGAAGGCAGGTCTAGCGGTTTCGGAGATCTAATGAAAAAAGCAAAAAAAAAAATGCCATTCGGCGGTTAAAAATGATCATTTGACATATGCACCTCAAATTATCAGATATTTTTTATAGAGATTTCAACAATAAGTATATTTTTTTTACATTTCTATGGGTTCCGTACCAATGCTTATGCGTTAGACGGCGGCGCGGCACTTGCGAGCTTTGACATTTTGTCTCTATGCAGTTCAAGCAGTGCTGCGATTGCTTTGAATAAAAGTACAGAATTTCCAAAATATGTCAAAATGAAGAAAACTTTTTCAAAAAATTTTTTTGTTTCCAAAAAAAAATTTTTTTTCTCAAAAAAAATTTTTTTTTTTTTCAAATAAATTTTTTTTTTCAAAAGAAAGTAATTTTTTATCAAATTACAGTTTCTCAGTTTCTCAAAATCTATTTCTTCGAAGTAAAATTTTTTCAAAAATGTCAATCGTTTTTAAAAAATAATAATTTTTGGTACGGGAAGTTCCAGCAATTTGCCTTAAGGCACGATGCCCTAATTGCCTTAAGACAGAATTCCACTTACAGCTAGTTTTACTATAATGTCAGATAACGCTTTATCCGCGTCGCCGGTGGGAACCGCTGCGCCAGCTACAGCATCGTCGAGTGAAGCCGTCCCATCGAAGAAAAGCGAGTGAGGGCGCCCTATCCTCCCATATACGTAATGGTCAACGACGCCATAGCAAGCCTGAAAAAACGCGGAGGATCGTCGCTGCAGGCGATCAAGAAATATATGTCGGCCAATTATAAAATCGACGCCGAGAAAAAATCAACATACATCAGAAAGTATTTAATGTCGGCAGTTGAAATGGGAACACTCATTCATACGAGAGGCAACGGTGCTTCGGGTTCGTATAAACTTGCCGCTAGACAGAGGGGCGGCGAAAGCGGTGTTTCGGCTGGAAAAGCTAGGACCGCTAAGAAGCCAGCGATAAAAATAAAATCGAAGACAGCAAAGTCGAAGGGCGCCGCCAAACCTGCTTCGTCCCTTAAAAAGAAGTCTGCATCCGCAGCGGGCACATTAAAAAAGTCGTCGGCGAAACCTAAGACGACAGTCGGTAAGAACAAGACCATATACGTGTTTATCTATGAACAAGACCATTTAGGGTAAGTCGACGAAAGCCTCATCGGCCAAGGCAACGAGCAATAATAAGAAGATTATCTTTTAATATACGTAAATTCGCTTTTTTTCATCTTTTAATACATACTTTATTTAAGGCTTTATTATTTATATGTTCAGGAATGATTATTCATTTGATACAATTAATTTTAATTTATTAATTTTTTTTTTATTTTATTTTAGAATTGGGTTAACTGTATACTATTCTTTTCGATTAAGAAGAATGTTATTTTTTAATTCTTTTGATTATTTTAGTTTAAATTTTTTAAATGATGATTTAATAAAATAATTAAATAAGATTTATTTTAATAATTTTTTCTTTATGCTTTGATAAGATTATAATTAATTTGATTTTTTATATTCCTAATACATATATTTTTTATTAGATTTATAATAAATATTATAGTTATAATTATGTTTTTATTAGGATTATGAGTAGGGTTAGAAATTAGGTTTTATAAAATATTATATATAAAAATGGATCGCAAAATGTGTTGGTAAGCGCATACTCAACAACGCTCTTCGAGTCTTCGATCTTTTAAATTTTCAGCTCCTTCCCAGACAGCACAAGACATGCCAGGGAATGTCCCACTTGTCCTCACAATCTCCCAATATCGCGATATCCTATGAATATCCTATGAATATGCAACGGGACGTCTCAAAACCAAAGGACTCGAGCAGGTATAACGAACGGTTCACGACATGTCGATCTCATACGCGCACGGCTTGAGACCTCTAAACGTATATGTTTGTCCCTTTCTCTTCGCCGTCGCGTCGCTTGGCGTCATCAATTAAGCTACTGACGCTATATGTCGAATTCTTTTATAGTTGTTGCGTAATTGAGTATTATTAGTGAAAATTTCATTTGTTCTGTTTAAATATATATGTGGTGTTATTAATAAATAATTTAAAATCCAAATGCTCTAAACTTGATTAATAATAGTGGAAATTGCATGTGTTTTATATAATTAATGTATATTTGAGTGTGTAATAA